TTAAGAAATGCTGCCCACATCCTGCTTGAATTATTATAAACTATTGATAGAAAATACTTTCATAAAGTTAGAAGCAGTTTAGAAAAAGAAAAAAAACAACAACAAATGATAATACTGACCTCAAGTTGTCTCAGATAAGCATAAATATCTTTCACATATTCACTACAAAGGTTTGGATCCACTCCATCTTCTGCATCCACATCATTTACTGCAAGAATTACATCAGAGAAAGCCTGACATAGGTCTTCTTCTGCAGGGGCACATCCAGATGTTTCCATTGGGCTTAGAGAGGGAGTGTCAACCTTGAAACAAAGAGATCTCTTGAAACAATAGCAAATAGGAGTAAGCACTATAGTTAAGGTCAGTTTATTGGTTTCAACTTTAGATAGTATTCTGCTGAAATGACATACAAATTATTTCCTGAAAGGAAAGTATCTTTTCAGATTTATTCCATTTCTTTTTAGAAAGTGAGTAACATCAAAAGAGATCATTTGGGTTGGGTGCAGTGGCTCACATCTTTAATCCCAGCACTTTGAGAAGCTGAGGTTGAGGCTAGGAGTTCAAGACCAGCCTGGGCAATATAGCAAGACCCTGTCTCTGTCAAAAAAAAAAAAAAAAAAAAGTCTTCATTTAATTGCTCAAATAAAAAGAATGAGGTCGGGTATAGTGGCTCAAGCCTGTAATCCCAGTAATTTTGGTGGCTGAGGTGGGAGGATACTTTGAGACCAGAGTTCCAGACTAGCCTGGGCCACATTGCAAGAACTCATCTCTACAACAAAATGTTTAAATTATATGGGCATCAGGGTGAAGGCAGTTGCCTGTAGTCCTAGCTACTCAGGAGGCCAAAGCAGGAGATCACTTGAGCCCAGGAGTTTGAGGATACAGCGAGCTATGACTACACCACTCTACTCCAGCCTGGGCAAAAAAAAAAAAAGAGTGAAATGCCAACTTAAAGTCAGTTTAAAGTTGGAAGCCAATGAATTCACATCTAGACTTCCCTCCAAAGGAAACTGAGAATTAATTAATCTTTATGAGCAAAATGTGAAGTTAATCCAAATAAATGATAATTCAGTCTTTAGTCTTTATTTCAAAATATAAACTGCTTCTCACTACTCAAAAGAACACAAATTCTGTCCTGACTAGTAAAGATTAACTAACTCCATCACCATTAACCATTTCCTTTGAACTCCCTTTATCCCACTGTTCAAAAATGTATTAAGCGCCTTCTTCAAGTCAAACTCTGCAAGGCATTGACTTCATTGCATCCTCAAGGGCTCTTAATTTAATAGACAAAGTTAAGTAAAGAAATAAGACTGGCTGGGCACAGTGGCTCATGGCTTCTCAAAGTGAGGGCGGATCATATGAGGTTGGGAGTTTGAGGCCAACCTGACCAACATGGAGAAACTCTGTCTCTACTAAAAATACAAAAATTAGCCGGGTGTGGTGGCACATGCCTGTAATCACAGCTACTTGGGAGGCTGAGGCAGGATAATTGCTTGAACCCGGGAGGTGGAAGTTGCAGTGAACCAAGATCACACCATTGTATTCCAGCCTGGGCAACAAGAGTGAAACTCCTTCTCAAAATAAGACTGAGTCTGGGGGTGGTGGCTCATCCCTGTAATCCCAGCACTTTCGGAGGCCGGGGCAGGTGGATCACCTGAGGAGTTTGAGACCAGCCTGACCAACATGGTGAAACCCCATCCCTTAAAAAAAAAAAAAAAGAAAGCCTGCCTTTACTAAAAATGCAAAAAATTAGCTGGGCATGGTGGCACGTGCCTGTAGTCCCAGCTACACGGGAAGCTGAGGCAGGAGAATCGCTTGAACCTGGGAGACGGAGGTTGCGGTGAGCTGAGATTGGGAGACGGAGGTTGCGGTGAGCTGAGATCGCGCCACTGGACTTTAGCCTAGGCAACAGACTGAGATTCCAACTCAAAAAAAAAAAAAGATGGATTCTAGGAACAGGGGTGGAGATGGGGGAAGTTAGGGAAAGCTTCAGGAGTTGATGCTTGAGCTGTTTTCAAGGATGAAAAGGTTATTAGCTAAATGAAAGACAGGGTGGGGAAGGCATCCTTACTAAGTGGGAAAGCAAAGGTAAGAATCAATATGGGCCTTTCAAGAAAGCCTCATGTAGTTTGATATGCCCAGTTAGACTGTGCTGGCTACATGTTTCATGTACTATGACCAGAAATTCAACACTAAAGCAATATCTTTCAATCTTTTATCCTTAGATATAAGAAGCTAAACTGGCCAGGCTCAAGCTAAATGGTGGCTCACGCCTGTAATCCCAGCACTTTGGGAGGCCAAGGTGGGTGGATCACTTGAGGTCAGGAGTTCAAGACTAGCCTGGCCAACATGGTGAAACCCCATCTCTACTAAAAATACAAAAACTGGCTGGGCACGGTGGCTCACGCACTTTGGGAGGCCGAGGCAGGTGGATCACGAGGTCAAGAGATCAAGACTACCCTGGTCAACATGGTAAAACCCTGTCTCTACTAAAAATACAAAAAATTAGCTGGGCATGGTGCCGTGTGCCTGTAATCCCAGCTACTTGGGAGGCTGAGGCAGGAAAATTGCTTGAACTTGGGAGAAAGAGGTTGCAATGAGCCGAGATTGTGCCACTGCACTCCAGCCTGGGCAACAGAGTGAGACTGCCGTCTCAAAAAAATTTTTTTCCAAGCCAGGCGTGGTGGCTCATGCCTGTAATCCCAGCACTTTGGGAGGCTGAGGTGGGCGGATCACCTGAGCTCAGGAGTTCGAGACCAGCCTGACCAATATGGTAAAACCCTATCTTAAAAAAAAATTTTTTTTCAGGTAATTTTCTTAACTGGTTTTAACTAAGTTTAAAACAAACAGAGCTTCAAAATGCAGTTCATTGCAATTTCAAAGCATCCTCCTCTACATGACCTACCTTTCCTTCACAGGATAGGACACCTTTACACATTTGATATTTAATATAAAGTTATTGGTCTTGAGCCTAAATCTTTTTTTCTTTTCTAAAACATCCTGTTATAACATTTTTTTTTCTTTGAGGCTAAATGTTAATTCATCTTCTTAACCACTCCCTGAAGAGTTGCATTCTTCCTGTTTTATTCATTTACATATTCCAATGTTACGGGCTTATTATTTAGTAGCCATATTAGGCAGTTAAAAAAAAAATTCAGGCCGGGCACTGTGGCTCACGCCTGTAATCCCAGCAGTTTGGGAGGTTGAGGCGGGCGGATCACCTGAAGCCAGGAGTTCAAGACCAGCCTGACCAACATGGTGAAATCCTGTCTCAAAAAAAAAAAAAAAAAAATTCAAGAGAATATTCTATGTTTATGAGGATAAATTCTGCGAGATAGCTTGTTCTTGGACAATAAAACCTTTGGTTCAGGCAGCTACTACTTAATATCATTAACAAAGAAAGTAATATAAGAAAGTCGTAACAAAAGCATAGATTCTGAAGTCAGACAGCCTGAGCTTGAATCCCATATGAGCCACTTACCTGTGTGATCCTGACATAACCTTTCTAAAGCCATGACCTAAATAGTAGAGGTGATAATATCTACCTCAGAGAGTACATGTAAAGATTACGTGAGTTACTGCATGTAAAATGTTAGGCAGAGCTTGCCTCATGCTAGGCACTCAATAAATGATATTAATATTACTATTTATTTGAATGTTCTTGCATGTGTCAGTGAAATAAGGGACAGAAGAAATAACAAGACTCTACAATGTTAAGAATAAGTTTACCAAAATAGGCTCAGGCGAAAGTTTTTCTTCTTTAACAGGCTCAGGTTCTGGCTCTGGCACTGGCTGGGACACCGGCACTGGCCCCAGCATAGGTACCTTTTCCAGAGGTTTTGGTAGTTTTTTAGCAATAACTTTTCCAGTAGCTGAAGGTTTTCCCTCCTGTGTAGATGAAACAGAGAGAATGGAATATTTCTGCATCAAGGACCACAGCTGGAAGGCGGGCTCTTACATTAGTTAGGTCAGGAAGAGGGCTACCTTTTTCATAGGCATTTTGGTCTGTAGCTGTTCACTGACTTTGTTACCAATGTCCCCAAGAGCTGTTCTTGGCCTCAGTCCGGGCTTGGAGGTTGCAGCAGGGGCCATAGGCACGCGCTTTGCGCCTGCCATACTGATCTTCGTCGTATTTTCAGCATTTATTTTCGAGTTCTGAAAGAAGCAAGACTACTTTAAGAGCTGGTCCACGGAAGCTCGAGTAAGTCAAGGGTTAATTAAGGTGGGGCACAAGAGAGGTTCCCAGAAGGAAAGCCGACTAAATATGGGTTCCAAGGGAAAACGTGGGTCCCAGAGTGTACTCTGCGGCCGTGACAAGTCAATTTCCACCGAGAACCTCTACATTTACCGATAGAGGGATTTCCTAATTAGTCCTCGCCAGCCCTAAAATACTGAGAATTTACATTTGAAAGGAAACCGAAAAAGCCTCCAGTTGCTGATTCCATCTCTCTGGAAAGTGGGTTACGCAGTTGCTGGCGGGCCCACTCAGGAACCCTCCATAACTTTTTCAAAAGGTTCCTAGACTCTCCACCTCCCCCAAACATTTATCCAATGTCCGTCCAGGTCTCTTTCTCACCTTCCTCCCTCCGTCCATCGTCCCCCACACCCCCCACCAGGCCTGGGCCCACCTCGGTTCTCTTGGTGACTCCCCTCCCACCTTCCTCCCCAAATCTCTCCTGAAGCCCTCTCCCGCTCGGGGGGCTCCAGCAGGCAGCTGCGAGGAAGGCCGCGTTAGTTCGCAGTCCGCAACGGCTCACCCTGGTGACTCGGAGCGCCATGGCTTCCTCTTCACCAGGCAGCAGCTCAGCGGAAAGAAGCAGAACACCGGAGTCCCGACCAGCCGAGGACCTGAACCCACCAGAAACCAACAACCGTTCCTCCGCAGCAGGCCGGGAAGAGCCGGCCTAACCTAAAGTTTAAACCCCGCACTGCTCCCTCCTTATTGGCCTGTTCGTGGCACTCGCTAACTTCCCATTGGCGGCTGCCGCTCCCGGAGAATGCGTTTCCAGGGCGATCCCGAGATTGCATTCGAGAGGGGCGGGGTCAGAGTGACGCTAAGGCCGGAAGGCGTGGCCAGGTTCTCACGTTGTCTGCCTCCGCGCCTGCGCTCTCGGGCAGCTGCCGCGGTCACCTGGAGAGCCTAGCAACGCGTGCGCCGCCTACCTGGAAAGCGGGGGCGCGGGGGGGGGTGCGCTGCCCGTGCCAGATCTGGGAAAGCCTGGTGGCCTTTGGAAGGTGACAGTGGCGCGCGGCCACAGTCTCAGAAGTGTCCAAAGTAGTTTTGGATCTAGTCCAAATTATTGTTACACACTTTCCATTTCTACGGTAGCAGCAATAATATAGTTCATGAAAGGCTTTGATATACGTTCTTTCATTTGATAGTTGCAACAACTCTATGGAGTGGAGGAACTGAAGCTCAGCGGCTTAGATGACTTTGCCAGGATCACACATTAGCAAGCGAAGAACTGAATTTAGGGGTTTTTTGAGGGGAGGGAGGATGGGTATTCGTATTATTTTTGCAACACTGGTTGTCCCTTAAGAATGTCACCTTCCAATCATGAGGTCAGGAGATTGAGACCATCCTGGCTAACACAGTGAAACCTTGTCTTTACTAAAAATGCAAATATTAGCCGGGCATGGTGGCAGTTTCCCATAGTCTCAGCTACTCGGGAGGCTGAGACAGGAGAATAGCTTGAACCCAGGAGGTGGGGGTTGCAGTGAGCTGAGATCGCGCCACTGCACTCCAAGCTGGGCGACAGAGTGAGACTCTGTCTCAAATAAAAAAAATAATAATAATTTAAAAAGTCACCTCCCAGCTTCTACTTACTTGATTACTTCAAGACTGGCCAGTTTCCCAAGGCCAATTGTTTTGTTTGTTTTAGCTTTCTATTTGGAAATAATATCATACTTAGACCAGTTGCCAACAAAAATCTTGTAAGGAACATTTCTATATCCTTTACACAGATTCACCCATCCTTAACCTGTATTTGCCTCTCATGAGAAGATCAGGAAAAACAAAATAAAATACATTTAATCCCATTTGCTTTGTCATTTGCTCAATTTCTCTCTGGATCCAAAGAAAAACAAGAGGGTCCTTTTTGCCTTCTACCCCTCAAAACACACCAGGAGCTCAGCAACTGGAGGAGAGGCTAGAGGACAAAAAGATTGATATTTCATAGAGCAATGGTCTAAGAGCCAATAGAGACTCCTGGCTCTGGAAGTCAAGGATCCAGAAGAAGGCACTCAATCATTTGGTTTCGTTGATCGTTATTCAGTCTTCTGTCATCATAGTTCTCCCCTCCTACTTGGATGCCGGCCAGGGGGCCCTTACCTTTTCCTGGAGTGCCTGCCTCATCTTGCCCTCAAGCCCCTGGGTTCTATCTAGCTAATTCCCATTCATCCTTCAGTTCTGTGTTCAACATCCATCCTCAGTCTTTCTGGGATTGATCAGTCCTCTCTGTGTTCCAGTTTTAAAAATAATTTTTACTTTTATATGCTTTATTTTTTTAGAGAACTTTTAGGTTCACAGCAAAATTGAATAGAAAATATAGAGCATTTCACCGCCTTCCCCACTATTGACATCCCACGTTAGAGTTGAACTTTTATTATAATCTGTTAACCTACATTGACACCACATTATTACCCAAAGCCCATAGTTTACATTAAGGTTCACTCTTGGTATTGTGTGTTCTATGGGTTTTGACAAATATATAATGACATTGATGACATATCTAACATTGTAGTATCATACAGAAGTTTCATTATCCTGGCCAGGCAAGGTGGCTCATGCCTGTAATCCTAGCACTTTGGAAGACTGAGGCAGGTGGATTGAGCCCAGGAGTTCAAGACCAGCCTGGCCAACATGGTGAAACCCCGTCAGGAAATCAGCTGGGCATGGTGGTGGGCACCTGTAGTCCCAGCTACTCAAGAGGCTGAGGCAGGAGGATGGCTTGAGCCCAGGAGGTGGAGGTTGCAGTGAGCTGAGTTTGCACCACTGCACTCCTGCCTGGGCGACAGAGCAAGACTCCATCTCAAAAAAAAAAAGAAGAAGAAGAAGAAAAGAAGTTTCACTATCCTAAAAGTCCCCTAGGCTCCACCTATTCAAGCCTCTCTCCTTTTAGACCCTTGCAACCACTGATCTTTTTAGTGCCTCTATAGTTTTGTCCTTTCCAGAATGTCATATTGAGATCATACAATATGTAGTCATGTGTAGTCTTTTCAGAATGGTTTCTTTCCTTTTCTTTTTTCTTTTGGAGACAGAATCTCACTCACCCATGCTGGAGTGGTGCAATGGTGTGATCTTGGCTCACTGCAGCCTCCACCTGCCAGGTTCAAGCAATTCTCCTGCTTCAGCCTCCCAAGTAGCTGGGACTACAGGCACATACCACCATACTCAGCTAATTTTTTTGTATTTTTGTAGAGACAGGGTTTCGTCATGTTGGCCAGGCTGGTCTTGAACTCCTGAGCTGATGATCCATCTGCCTTGGCCTCCCAAAGTGCTGGGATTACAGGTGTGAGCCACTGTACCCAGCCTTAGACTTTTAAGACTCTGTCTCAAAAAAAAAAAAAAAAAAATTAAGGGAACTGGCAATTGTCAATACTCTCACAGTTGATCCATATTGTGTTCGTGTTTTTGCAGAGATGAAGTCTTGCTATGTTTCCCATCCTGGTCTTGAATTCTGGCTCTCAAGAAAGCCTCTTGCATTGGCCTCCCAAAGTGTTGGGATGACAGGCATGAGCCACTGCACTGGGCCTGTATTATGTTCTTATTGACTAAATCCTTCTGAATTGATATTTAGTATACTTTTTCTGAATTAATATTTAGTATACTTTAACAGAGGATTCTCTGCTTCCTCCATTTTATTATTATTATTGTAGTATAATTGTAGTATTACTGTAGTATAATTATAGACAGGATTGTCTGCCATACTTGCTGAAAATCAACTACAGCCATTAAGTTTTGTCAACCACAAGAGACGTCTGACTTTTTCTCCTTATATTTGCCTAGATGCTCCAGAAGCAAGTGACAGATCCAAAATTGTCTTCTGGGAGAAACATCACAAAGCTTCAAAGGTATGTTGTCAAACTCCTGAAGAGCAAGAAAAAGGAAAAAAAGAAAAAGCTTCAAAAGGTTAGTCTTAGTTGTTGCTATTACTGAGAATACAGCTATGGGCTCAGGCTTCTCAATTTAAGCTCACGTTTTGACCCATTATATACACATTTGTCAGAACTCAGGTAATTGAGTCAGGAACCCCAGGAACTTTTTGGTTTTAGGAGAAGATGACTTTATGGAAGCAGATTGCTTTATTCAAGACATTCCAATCGAGATTGGTTCTTATGAAATTGGGCTACAGGTTTACGTTCAATTTGACTGGGCTAACTGTATATTTGGTTTAAATGACTCTCAGGCACTTGGAAGCATACCTACAAAATTCACCAAAATTACAGGTTGTGTTCCCTATGCTAATGTAATGTTACTCTGAATGTAGGTCTTGGCGAGAAGAAGGAATGAGGCCTCTGGAAGTGGTTTATGTGCCATTTTGGGAATTTAATAATATTGTTAGTCTCTCAGATGACCTAATGTTCTGTCAACCCTATGCCTGTTGAAATACAAATCTTCAATTAGCAGTCAGACACACTGGTTTCCATCACTTCATGTACAAGTCTCAACCTTGCATTGGAGGTGCCTAGTTTAGAACGCTGTGTTAGAAACTGCCCTTTCCAATGGTGATTGGCAAATGAAATTGTCTAGACAAGATTGTCTGCTACACTTGCTGAACAAAAAAAGCTTTAACTCTAGCTGGGCTTGAGAAAGTATCTTTTATTAAGAAAAAAAAAAGAAAGAAAATAAAAGAAAAAAATCTTTAACTCAGGCTCGGTGGCTCATGTCTGTAATCCCAGCACTTAGGGAGGCTGAGGCGGGTGGCTAACCTGAGGTCAGGAGTTCAAGACCAGCCTGACCAACATGAAAAACACTGTCTCTTCTAAAAATACAAAATTAGCCAGGTGTGGTGGTGAATACTTGTAATCCGAGCTACTCTGGAGGCTGAAGCAGGAGAATTGCTTGAACCTGGGAGGTGGAGGTTTTGGTGAGCTGAGATTTGAGCCATTTTACTCCAGCCTGGATAATAAGAGCTAAACTCCATCTCAAAAAAAAAAAAAAACAAAAAACAAAAAAACAAAACCCAAAAAGCTGTAACTCATTTGCTGCAATCATGCTGAACAATAAAATCACTTTAGGTTATTTGCTGACTAAACAAGGTGGCTCTTATTACCAACTCTTAATAGCTGTTGCATTTGGCGAGGTGCTTCAGACTAAATCAAGAGATCTCAATATAAAATCCAAGAATAGGCTGGGCATGGTGCTTCATACCTGTAATCTCAGCACTTTGGTAGGCTGAGGTGGAGGATTGCTTGAGCCCAGGAATTCCAGACCAGCCCGGGCAATGTAGTGAGACCCTATCTCTACAAAAAATAAAAAATTAGCCGGGCAGGGTGGCACAATGCCTGTAGTCCCAGCTACTCAGAGGGCTGAGGTGGGAGGATTAAATTAAATAAAATCCAAGAACTAAGCCAATCTAAGTCAAGGTGGGGAAAACCAATCTGTGGAATCTTTTATTTTGTTTCTTTTTTGGTTTTGTTTTGTTTCTTTTTTCTTTTTTTTAGGCAGGGTCTCTCTCTGTCACCCAGACTGGAGTGCAGTGGTGCAACCACAGCTCACTGCAGCCTGCATATCCCAGGCTTAAACAGTCCTCCTGCCTCAGTCTCCCAAGTAGCTGGTACTGCAGGCTTGAAGTGCAGTGGTGCAACCATGACTCACTGCAGCCTGTACCACCCAGGCTAAGCAATCCTCCTACCTCAGCCTCCCAAGTAGCCGGTACTGTAGGCGTGCAACAACATGCCCTGCTAATTTTTAAATTTTTTCTGGAGAGGGGGGTCTCACCATGTTGCCCAGACTAATCTGTGGAATCTTTTAGTAGGGTTTTGGCTTTTTCTTTTTTTTTTTTATTTTAGGATTCCGGCTTTTGCAAATAGGATGCTGATTTAGGGCATACTGTAAACATTATTTAAGTTGTTGCTAATGGTTGCTATTGTCAAGTTATTGTTAGCAAGTTTTTTGTTTTTTTTTTTTGAGTTTCAGTCTTGCTCTTGTCACCCAGACCGGAGTGCAATGGTGTGATCTTGGCTCACTGCAACTTCCACCTCCCAGGTTCAAGTGATTCTCCTGCCTCAGCCTCCTGAGCAGCTGGGACTATAGATGCCCGCCACCACGCCTTGCTAATTTTTGTATTTTTAGTAGAGATGGGATTTCACCATATTGGCCAGGCCAATCTCGAACTCCTGACCTCGTGATCCACTTGCGTCAGCCTCCCAAAGTGCTGGGATTACAGGCATGAGCCACCATGCCCAACCTTAATTTTTGTATTTTTAGTAGAGATGAGGTTTCATCATCTTGGCCAGCCTCGTCTTGAACTGACCTCAGCCATGTGCCTGCTTGGCCTCCCAAAGTGCTGGGATTACAAGCCTGCGCCTAGCTTTTAGCAGGCTTTTTGTTTTTAAATACTTGCCCACCCTTCATCTGCTGATTTTTTTTTTCCTTTGAGACAGAGTCTCATTCTGTTGCCCAGACTGTAGTGTAGCAACACCAGCTCGGCTCACTGCAGCCTCTGCTTCCCAGGTTCAGGTGATTCTTGTGCTTCGGCCTCCTTAGCAGCTGGGATTACAGGCACGTGCTACCATGTTTGGCAAATCTGTGTATTTTTAGTAGAGATGGGGATTCACCATGTTGGCCAGGCTGGTCTTGAACTTCTGACCTCAGGTGATCTGCCCTCCTCAGCCTCACAAAGTGCTGGAATTAGAAAAGTGAGCTACTGCACCCGCTTGTGAAATTTCATTCTACTTACTTGTTTATTCATTTTTTGTTAGCACGTTGTATATTTATATATATATATTTTGAGATGACGTTTCCCTCTTGTTTCCCAGGCTGGAGTGCAATAGTGCGATCTTGGCTCACCGCAATCTCTGCCTCCCAGGTTCAAGTGATTCTCATGCCTCAGCCTCCTAGTAGCTGAGATTACAGGTGCCTGCTACCACGCCAGGCTAATTTTATAATTTTGTATTTGTAGTAGAGACAGGGTTTCTCTATGTTGATCAGGCTGGTCTCGAACTCCCAGCTTCAGGTGATCTGCCCACCTTGGCCTGCCAAAGTGCTGGGATTACAGGCATGGGCCACTGCGCCCAGCCTGTTCACAGGTTTTTAAATGTCAGTTGTTGTGCAGCCACCATCCCGTTTTAGGCATCCAGCAATTCTACAACAAAAGATTAAGGTTACTCTGACAAACAAAATGGAATCTTGTGAGAATGGCATCTGAAAGGAACTCAGATGGTAGCGAAGCTCTCAGAACCTGATCATGTGCTGACTCTGTGAGGGCATCCTATTGTCTCAGGAAGAGGGACTGTAAAAATTAATTTTTCACTTACAATAGCACTTGCTTAGGAATTATCGAAACTGTTGTTTCATTGCATAGGCTCTAACTACTAAAGCTGATAAAATACCATCAACTTTGAATGACACTAGGATGCCAGGCTTTTACCAGACCAAAGTGAAGACTCATTTTTGACTAATGTACAGTGGAACATATTTTATTTTTTTGAGGTGGAGTCTCACTTTGTTGCCCAGGCTGGAGTGCAATAGCACAATCTCGGCTCACTGCAACCTCTGCATTCTGGGTTCAAGCCATTCCCCTGCCTCAGCCTCCCAAGTAACTGGGACTACAGGCACCCACCACCATGCCCAGCTAATTTTTGTATTTTTAGTAGAGAGGGCTTTGGCCTTGTTGGCCACACTGGTCTTGAACTCCTGACCTCAGGTGATCTGCCCACCTTGGCCTCCCAAAGTGCTGGGATTACAGGTGTGAGCCACCACGCCCAGCTGGAACATCTTTTAATCAAGTCATTCTCAAATGGGGAATGTTTTGTCCCATGAAAGACATTTGGTTATGTCTAGAGACATTTTGAGTTTTCCCAACTGCAGTGGCATCTAGTGGGTAGAAATTAGAGATGCTGCTATACATCTTATGCACAGGACAACCCTCACCACTACCCTACCATACACAAAGAATTATCCAGCCCAAGACGTCAATAGTGCCAATAGTGCCAAGCTTGAGAAATACTGCCAACTATGTACATACTCAGACATAGACTCATTTCTACTCAGAATGCTAGTTATCAAGTTTAATTAGCATAACCACTATGGATTACCTGCTCTCTTTATAACACTTAAAACTCCTGGCCAGGTTCGGTGGCTCACACCTGTAATCCCAATACTTTGAGAGACCAAGACAGGCAGATTACTTGAGGTCAAGAGTTTGAGACCAGCCTGGCCAAGATGGTGAAACCCCATCTCTACTAAAATACCAAAATTAGCTGGGTGTGGTGGTGAGTGCCTGTAATCCCAGCTACTCAGGAGGCTGAGGCAGGAGAATTGTTTGAACCTGGGAGGCGGAGGTTGCAGTGAGCTGAGATCGCACCAATGCACTCTAGCCTGGGTAACAGAGCAAGACTCCATCTCAAAAACAACAACAACAAACAAACAACAACAATAGAAAACTCCTGACTTTTCTCCTCGGTGAACTATTAGTATTCAGTGTTCCCTCTCCTAAGTTAATAATGTCAACTTCATACCAGTTACTTCTAGATTCTAAGGATATTGCTCTGAACAAAACAGATAAGAAGCTAAACAAATGAATAAGTAAGCAGAGAGAACAAAACACGTAAGACTAAGTAGTAGGCAGAAAATTAAAAGAAAGCGGCACAAACAGAGTGGTTTGGTAGCTACGTTAGACTTTGGTCAGGAATTGTCTCTTTGAGGAGGTGACATTTAAATTGAGGCTTAAGTGACAATAAGGAGAACATCCCAGGTAAAGGAAGTAGTCTGTGAAAAACACAAAGATAGAAATGAACTTGGCATCTTCAGAAAAGCCAGTGTGGCTAGAGTATAGAGGGGGAGTAGCGGAGACGAGGTTGAAGATGTTGGAAAGGGTAGGATTACACAGGTACTGTACACCAAGATA